GCTGCGTCCGCCCTGGCCGCGCCGGCCCCGCCCCTGCCCCGTAGACCTCCAGCCTTCTGCGCACCTGCCAGGTCCCGGAGGCTGTCCCCAGGCCTGGCCGCGATTTACTGTGCTCAGATGCTAGTGGCATCCCGGCCCCAGCCCGCTCGCAGGTTTCCAGCACCCCCTGGCCCGTGGGCTTGGCTGCTTGGGCTACTAGCACATCGGAAAGCCAAGCCTCGGGCTCACATTTGTCTTGTGCCAGACTCGGGGTGCTGAAGGGTCCTATGAGGGGGGTGAGGGGGCTTCCAGATGAAACCATGACCCCTAGAGGTGCAGCCTGTGCCTAAGGGCAGCGGGGAACTCGGCTTCCGCTGGCTGCATCTGGTGTCCCTGCCTCTCTCTGGGACCTTAAGGTTCTGAGGCTCCCAGGGGGACTGGCTCAGTGACCCCTGAAGCGCCCTCCCCCACGGAGCCCGCAAAAGGACCTACCCTCTTGTTCTGTGGGGTACAGTCCCCGGTGCTCCCATTTTCCAGGGAGGCACTGAGTCTAGGGTCACATCAAGGTCACACAGGTTAAGGTTGAGCCCACTCCACGAGGGACTGTGTTCTTTTTCTTGCATTCTCGGCGGCAGTCAATGCCCGACCCTCCCCTGATGACCAGATTGGGGGTGGGTGGGGCCCAGGGGCTGGCTGGAAGACGGCCTTCCAAACAGAGCAGCGGGCACCCTGCACAGCTGGCTGGGAGAGCATGGTGTGGCACGGCTGTCACCAGAAGCAATGGGGCCAGGGGCTTGGGGATTTCATGGCGGTGGCCGGCTCAGCGGCAAAGTGGACACCTCAACCCACAGCTGCTCCCAGAAGGCCCCTCTGTAGAGTGGCCAGTGGGACAGAGGCTGGGGCCCCCCTGTGGCATGATGTCCGTCCAGGACACTGGGCCTATGTGTGATGGTTCTCTCAGCTGAATCCCCACAAGTATTTGTCTCCCTCCAAAGAGGGACTACTTCACAGGATAGGAGAGTGGGGGCAGACTGAGGCAGGCACTGCTGGAATAGCCGGGCATCTGTGAGGAGGTGGATTCTGAGGGTCAGAATCAGAAAGACCCACGGTCGCGGATGAGGTCCCTGTGTCTGGGTGCAGGAGGGAGGATGAGTCTCCCTGGCCCATCTGCCTGACATGACTTACTCTGATGGTCTTGTACAGAAAGGAAAACCAAGATCCTTAGGACGGAGGGACACATTCGGAACCCAAGACTGGGGTTGGTGGCACGGCCTTTGACTGCCAGGAACCGTCACTTGTGGGGCCTAGTGCAGTATGTTTAAAAGTCAAGAGATTTTAAAAGATGTCAAAATAAAGCATTTTTAAAAGATGGCAAAAAAAAAAAAGTCAAGGGTTCTGGGGCAGGGAAGTGGAGGAGTAGGCAGTTCCTCACCTCCTATGCCTGCCGGGAGCCCCACTGCTGCCCTGGGCTTCCTGGATCATTTTCCTGGCACTTCCTGGCACTTTCCAGGGCACTCTCTGCTCTGAGGAGTTTGCCACACTCAGTGAAAGCCCCTTGTTAGGGCAGCTGGTACACCAGGACACTGGACCTGAGGGTGTCCAACAGAGCACCAGCCTCCCTCACAGCCCACAGGCTCCGATGTAAGCCTCATTTTCACCTGTCCCTGCGTATCACCAGGAATGGCCGATCACACCCAAAGCCATTGGTGGAGAAAACAGGACAGCATTCATTTGGGCCTGGTGCCCACCTCAGTGTGGTGCAGGCTGAGCTTAGCCGCCCAACACCAGCCCAGCCTCCCGTTCCCTTGAGAGTTACCAGGTTGACCCAGAGATACAGCTGCTGGCTGAGCCGTCTTGGGTGGGACCCTGGGTGTCCTCATGGTCACTCTGAGAGCTCCTTCGGGTGCTTGCACCCTCTCGCCAGTCACAAGGGGCTCTCTGGTGGTGAGGGGCTTCCTGGCAGAAGGTGAAGAGGGGGCCTGGGATACACAGGAAGTGCTGGCCTGCCAGCAGCCCAGGACCCTTCCTTGGGAAGGTTTTTGGGTGTGGGTGCAAGTGGGGATGGGCACAGCCCTGCAACCCTCACCATGGCTCCTGCTTCAAGAGTCTGAGGATACTAGAGGTGTCCCTGGGGGGGGGGGCCAGGCCTGTTCCCAGGCTGTCACCCCAGGCCCTGGAGCTGCTGCACCCCATTTGTCAGCACTGGCTCCAAGAAGGGCTGAATCAACTTCCTGTTTCAGTGAGTATAGTTTTGGCACCATGTGGCTCCGGCTCCATAGGGAGGTCGAATGGCAGCGTGGATGTTAAGATAAGTTTGGAATTGTGAGGCCAGCACTGGAGGGGCAGCTTTCCTGGTCCATGGTGCTGTTGGGCCCCCCAGTTGCCACCCACTCTGGAGACAGAGCATATTCTGGGGACCCACCCAGCCTCTCCGCCTGTCTAGAGGTCTGAGTCCAGCAGGGGCGCTGACCAGGGCTCCAGACAGGCTGAAGAGAAGGCTGGTGCTGTTGCATCCCTGCAACCCACTGCAGTTAGGCGGCTGAGTGTCCCTGGGTGGGTGGGGCCACAGGCTGTGGATTGAACCTGGTCCCCAGGGGGCGCTGTTTGGGGTCGGGGGGAGGGGCTCGGGTCATGGGGGTGTGCCTTGAAGGGGCCACAGCCTTGTCTTTGATGGTCCCTCTGCTCCTGTCAGAGAGGTGAGCATTCTGCTTGTAGGCATCCTGTCGAGATGTTGCTGCCCAGCGCCTTCACCCACAAGAGACCTCACAGGCAGTGCACTTGGAACCCCGGAAGCTGTAGCCTTGTTGAGAGAGCCGTGGCCCGGGTAGTCACAGTGCATACACAGGGAGGAATGGGAGGGTGCAGAGGCCAGAGAGCAGGGCCTGGGGACACCAGCCTTAAGCCTTTGGGGTTGACTGTTACAGCAGGTGAGTTGATGGTTCAGACCAAACCCGGGGTATGGAAGTAGGGTGCAGCACAGGAATTGCTAGGTGCAGGATGCGGAAAAGGGGTGTGTGGGGTGCTTGGCTTGGGCAGCATGCAGTGCCTGCCCACTGTGCTGCTGGGCAGAGAGCAGAGGAAACCTGCAGGAGCCAGATGTGCTGGTTGGAGAAGCACACAGGTCTGTGCCCAGCCTCTCCAGCCAGGAAAGGGCTGCCCGGGAGCGGGGACTTCAGAGGGCAGTGTGGCCTGTCCAGCAGACCCAGACGTCTGGAGGGGATAACGTAACTGGAATGCGGTTCTTGGATGAGGCTAGCTGCACAGTCCCTCTGGGGCAGGACTGGGCCAGGCTGGACCTTGGAACAAGAACTGCTTGGGCCGTGGCTGCTGTGTGCTGCCCTCCCCCCACCTCCTGTGTGGGGTCCATAACCATGACCTCCATCCTCTGCCCCACATCCGTGCCATGGATGGGACACACTGGACAGGTGGCCTGATGGGGACAGGGCCCAGGCTTGAGCCTCATGCTGAGCGTGATGGGAGAGGGCACATGGACTGAAAGCAACTATGATGCTTTTAAAGCACAGTGCTCACATCCGTGCTGCTCCTGCATGGGCTACGTGGCTGGCTGGTCAGCAGGAATTGGCCAGCTGGTGTCCATGCTTGATCTGGGATTAGCTGCTGGGTTCTGAGGCTGGTGAGGGGGACTCCAGGCCTAGGTGGTGGCCACGAGGCCTTCAGGACGCAGATCCACAGGAAAGGCACCTGAGTGTTGGTGTGGTCTGTGGCACAGCAGCTGTGACGGAGACAGAGGGTTCTGGGGATGTAGGCAGAGCCACTGAGACTTAGTCCCTCCAGGCCTGTGATCCTGCAGGCCCCTCTCACAGATAGGGAAACAGGCTGGGAATCACCACTCTGCTGGGAGTGGGCTCCAGGAGGAGCTGGGGGCACGGGAGCTGGGAGGCCCCACTGAGGGTAGGAGAACCGAGGCCCATGGGGCAAGGCAGCTGGCCCAGGTCTCCCACTACCCCCATCCTGCTGGAGTAGCACCTGTCCTCCTCGAGCTTGCAAATGTCTGGGCTCCTGGCAGTGCAGGCTCAGGTGCAATCTGGCCCCCTAGCCTGGGGCTATGGCAAGGGCAGCTCCCACTCCTCTGTCTGCCCAGCCCCGGCAGTGCAGGAGCCATGGCCTTGAGCTGCTGCCCTCAAGGCCACGATGGAGGTCAGTGAGACACTGTGCTGTGGGAAGGGGCTGTGGCCTTGGGATTGTGGGAAGGGAGGGACAGCCATGGCCTCATTGTGCTGCCAGGCATGTACCCTGTGGATGGAGCTGTGGCTCTGAGGGCAGGTACCATGGTCCCCCTTCCCTCTGCCTGGAGCCCGCCAGGCCCTGCCAGCTGCCATGGTCTCCATGGCCGGCACACAGCTGTGAACAGAAGATGAGGGCAGGGCTCAGTGTGCCACAGCCTCCAAGTCTGCAGGTCCCATCGGCTTGATGGGACCCTTCGGGAGCCCCGACTTCCACACTCCAGGGTAACAATGAATGGTGCCTCCCCTGGCAGCCCCCCGAAGCTGTGCTGAAGCGGTCTCTCTGGGTCCCTCCCACCTGGTTCTTCCTGCCAGGAAGGAGGGAGCGACATCTGCCCACTTTCCTGGGTGGGGCCTTGTGGGCCCAGCCAGCTGCATCCAGTGGTGGAGTCTCCAGATCGTCCAAGTCGGTTCCCCTGGAGGACACACCCAAGAGCCTCAGCTGTGCCCGCTGCACTCTCCCGACCTCAGCTGTGTCCCTCAGCCTGCCCACCGCCTGATTTCACTGCTGTTCCACCTTCCTGGGATGGGTAGCTGCTGGGGCATCCGACACCTGGGGGATTCTCTGCAACACACCACCTTCCTGTCCACTCTGCTGGCTTGGGGGGCCTTGGACTCTGGTGTGGGAGAGAGGCTGGCTGGGGACAGGGCACCTGGGTAGGAAGGGCTTGTGGGCAGAGTGCTATCTGTCCACGGGCCTGCTCCTTGGCTCCAGAAGGCACATGCCCTTCAGGGAAGCTGCCAGAGCCCTCAGGGGCAGGATTTGTGCACCTGGTGTGTTCTGGGCCTTAGTGGGTTTTGAGGGAGGTCACTATCCACATAACCCACGTGCAGGTCTGCATGCGAGGCTGTGTACCCACCTTGCAGTGTGCGTGCACCTGTGTGCAGTGTGCATGTGCCTGCTGCTGCACAGGTGGCTTGTGTGTCTGTCTGTGCACGTGGCAGTCCCCAGGCCTGTGCACATGTTAGGTGGCTTGGCGGCCGGATGGTGGAAGTCTGCCCTGCAGGGTGGAAGTTTAGGCAGACTGAGACAGTGATGGGCAAGGTGGCTCCCCCGCATGGGTGGATGCTGCCACCTCGTGGTCAGAAGGGGGCACGGCCCTGGTGGTGTGGGGTGGGGCAGCAAGGCTGAGGCAGCTGGTGAGTGTGGAAGGGCAGGGAACTAGCCTGCTGGGTCACGTGACAGGCGCATCGAGGGCCCCAGGACTCTGCTCCAGGTCCACCAGGTCTTCCACCCCTTCTTAGTTCACTCTCCAGCCCATAACGTTCTTCTGGGCGCCACCACAGTCACCCCCCAGAGCACCCTGTGACCCTGAACACTGTCTGGGCCCTTGGGGCAGAGCGTTAGGTTCTCCTCTGGCCACCCATACTGGAGGCCGCTTGTCCCCGACCCTGGGGTCTCTGGGGTCATTCAGGACACGGGGCTGAGGGCTGGCACCAGTGTGGGCCTGCTGGTTCTTCCGACAGTTCATCTCATCCCCTCTGCTACCCGAGGGCCCCTGCAGAACCCAATCCTTCACCATGGGTGGCCAAGGCTCCTTTCTGCCCAGGCCTCAGGTTCCCACCTGTAAACAGGGGAGGCTCCAGGGTGTGGTCTCGCCAAGGGTCCAGCCCACCCTGTGCCCGTTCCAGGCCCTGCCCCGGCATGGCACGCAGTGGCCCCGAGGAGAGACAACAGAGGTGAATGCTTTCTGGGCCACGCGCTGGGGCTGCAGTGAGCAACAGTCATGATGACACACGCCACAGACCCGGGGTTGTGCGAAAATAGTGGGAATATATTCAGAAAGATGAGCCGGCTGTGACCTTTACAGCCTGGCCTGAGACCCCTCCACCCGTCTTCGACCTCGTGGAGGAGGCTTTCCGAGGACCTAGCACCTTCTGGAGGGGTCGTCTGGGCCTGATTTGGTCTCTTTCGAAATGTCAAAACGAAACCTTTGACAGATACATTGCACCCACGTTAAAAACTAAAAACAGAACAAAACAAGTTGTGAATCTGAGACTCCCCGAAGAGCACAGAGCATCTCAGTCCTTCTGCCTATCCTTCCACGCTGGGCCAGGATGTGGGTACTGGGGGCCCCTGCCGTGGGATCTGGGACGGAGCTGGCCCAGGAGCCTGTGGGGAGCTTGTGGTCGTCACCTTTGCCCCAGCTGCAGCCTCCTCCAGCTCATCCAGTTACAGGAGCACCCAGTATTCACAGTACAACGTGAAAACAGCACCAGAAACTGCCGAGCAGAACCGTGGGTGACACAGCCCAGGGCTCTGTGGGGAGGAGGGCTCTAGAGAGGGGCCGAGGGATGGAGACCCTCACCACATCCCCTGGGGAACCAAGTGCCCCAGAAGCATCCGCAGTGTGGCCGGTGGCAGGCATGATCCTGCGGGCAGAGGGAGGAGGTCTGTGTGCTCTTGGGGATCAGTTGGCTCAGAAGTGGCCCATGTGGAGAGCCCTGCCCTCCCCATGCGATTCCTAAAGGCACTTTGGAAATCCAGCAGCGAGACTTAAAAGGAAAGGCCACCATCGGTTGACTGCCTGAACTTACATCCCTGCTCAGTGACGGGGACCCTGTGCAAATCTTCAGATGAGGTCTACAGCATATACCACCATGCCAACAGGGCACACAGGCTGGGGAGGGGCATAAGCTGCTCTTTCTTCAAGTACTTGGTACCAAGAAAACAGCTGTGTGGTTTCAAAAGGGCTGCAGCTGTCCTGTCCCTCACCCTCAGCCTCCTGGCAAGAAAGGAACCTTCACCGGCTGGTTTGAGTGTTAGTGGAGTGAGGCAGGTAAGGTGCCCCAAAGTGCACCACCTCAGGTGTGGAGCAGCCATGCCAGGAGCCTCACTGGGGTCCTGGCTCTGTGCTGGGCACTGCTTGGGCGTCACTCAGAAGTGTCCTTCTTTAGCGGGATCTTGAAGCTGGTCAGTCTCTGCCCAAAGAGCTGGCTGAGGAGGTCGCTCTGTGCCTCCGCAGTCCGGCGGTGTCGGAGCTCGGCGGGCCTGCTGCTGGAGACAGACCTGCCCCTCCGCACCTGGGGGAAGGCCTTACCCTGCGCCTCCCTCCGGTGGCCAGGGCCAGATTCCACTTTCCGAGCCTCCCAGGGCTGTGGCCTCGTCTTGCTGAGCTGCCCGCTGAGCCTGGGCTTGGCAGGGAGCAGCCGGCTGGGGGTGGCCTGTTTCCGGGGGGCCCGGGGAGGCCTGTCAGGGGCCGAGGGGGCTCTGCCCATGCTCCCTGCACCAACCCGCCTGGCTGGGCCTGGGCCCTTTCTCCTCCTCTCACTGCCCTCTGCCTTTTCCTGGCAGCCACGGGCTTGGGCTCGAGGCGGGGGTAGGTGTAGTGCAGGGCCCTGGCCGGGGCTGCCGGGCTTGGCTGGGGTGGTGGCTGTCTCACTCTGTAGTCGCCCGCTGGATGGCTGGGGCTGGCTGCCCCCCCTGGTCTTGGTGCCAGCGCGTGCCCCCCCACTGCCCTGGGAGCTGGGCCTCGGCCTGGCTTTAGGGGTGGTAGGCTTCATCCTGTCTTCAGGGCCAGGGGCCAGTTCTCCGCGTGCTGGGCTCCCCATCTCTGTCGGCTTCCTTGGCTGCCCTGGTAGCTTGGGTGCCCTGCTGGGGGTGGTCGCCAATGGCTTGGGCTTTGATGTGCTCCGGCAAGCCCCCAGCTTGGTGGCAGTGCCCCCGTGGGAGGGGCCCGCTGTGTCCCCCTCCGACACCACATGGCAGGGTGACACCTGCCTCTCTTTCGGGAGCAGGGAGGGCTCTCCTGGGGACCGGTCGGGGTCGCACCTGCCACTCCCTGAGACCAGGCAGGGAGCCTGCTGTCTCTGAGGCCTAGGGCTGCCTGCCGAAGCCTCTCCCTCCAGCCTCTCCAGGGCTCGGTCCGGCTCGCAGCCCTCTCTGCCTTCAGCCTGGGCATTGGGGAGGGGAGACAGAGCAGCGGGTGGAAGGTCTGGGCCGGCGGTGGGTAGATCCCGGTGGCCCGCAGGATCCTCGCGCCTATCTGGGGTCTGAGCGGCGCCGGGGACCGCCTGTGGACAGAGCCGGGGCAGGGCCAGGCTGCCTGGGGACACAGGCCGGCCAACCTGCGCCAACCTGCGCCG